AGTTTTTTTCCCTCTCGGTGCGTTGAAATGTTCCGAAAAGCCGGAACAAAACTTTTCCAACATCTAACCCGCCCTACCCCCCCCCCTTCTCTCTTTCCTTTTTCCCATTCCCGGGGCGCGAGTGAGGGCTGGGGGGGGGAGGGCGGTGTTTTAACAATAGAAGAACGGAAACGCCATTATGAAATTTTTCCGGGATACCACCGGACACCGATTGGACGAAAGCCGAAAACGAGTTTTTCGTTTTTTCGTTTTTGTTTTCCTTTTCCTTTTTCTCTTTCTTTTTTTTTTCATTTTTCGCGAGCGAAGCCTCCCCCCCCCACCCTCCTCCCTCCTCTTATCATTCCCGTCTTTCGTTTCCGTAAATGCAATATGCCTCTTGCATCTCTCTTTCTTTTTTTTTTTTTTTGTTTTTGTTTCTCTACCCTACTCCCTTTTTTACTCTTACCCATTTTTTACCCGGTTTTTCTTTTTTTCTCTTTCTTTTACCTTTACCTTAACTCCCCCCACCCACCCCTCTAACATCTACTTTTACCGTTCAATTTTTTTCGGTTTTTTTTTCCGTCGATACGTCGAACGAAACAATTTTTACACCCTTAGATTTTTTTCACGCGTTCATCGTCTGTATGTTCATGAACGTTCATGTTCAATGTCTGTATATTGGATTTGCATTTTTTTTTATAACGAAAAATAAAAAGGAAAACAAACGAACGAACATAATTAATAATATTTCTTTTAGAAATCTTTTTGGCATTTGCTTTTTTTTTTCACAACAATAGAAACAAATTTTCTTTTTCGTTAAATATATTTAAAAGAAAGAAAGAAAAATATACAAAATAAAATAAATAAAATATAATATAGAACGAGTGGGGTGGGTGGCAGGGTGTTCCATAATCATCAAGGGTAACACAATGAAGGTTTCCCCATTTTTGACAAAACAAAGTCGCCATATTGTCGTCAAATTTACGTTAACGTTGTTTGTTCACGCTACTACTACCACCACCATTACCACCCCCTCCCCCGTCACTACCCCACAAATTCATGCTACAAATATACGTCTTGTTTTTCTGTATCATGCTATTGCCATTGCTATTGCTACTGTTACTGTTACTGTTACTGCTGCGGGTTAAGGTTACTTATCGATTGGCAAAGTCTGACCTAACACTGACATACTTCACTCGCGGCTTCGAGGTCTGACCTCTGTTCCGTATCGTGTATCGACCATTACCATAACCTTACGATTTATATAAGTTATATATCGCGTTTACCAGCGCTTCCACGATCATTCCTAAACGAGCAACCAATGTCCAACCCCTTCATAACCCTCCACCCCCACCCCCATCCCACTCCACTTCACCCCGTATCACCCTTTATCCACCTTCGTTCAGTTTTAGATTACAACGATAACTAACCCGTTTTATATCTAACCCGTCTTCGTTATCTGATCGAACACTATGTCGCACGTTCTGTTATGTTCTTTCTTTTTTTTTTTTTTTTAATTCTCGTTTCATTTAGAACGTTCTGAAAGTAATTTCGTATTTTTATTCCATTTTGTTTTTTTTTTTTTTTTTTTTTT